GTACCCAAACCCACACAGCCCTCATCTCTGCCACGCCCCTCTGGAATAGGCCCCGCCCACATCACACCTATTACAGTACCCAAACCCACACAGCCCTCATCTCTGCCACGCCCCTCTGGAATAGGCCCCGCCCACATCACACCTATTACAGTACCCAAACCCACACAGCCCTCATCTCTGCCACGCCCCTCTGGAATAGGCCCCGCCCACATCACACCTATTACAGTACCCAAACCCACACTGACTCTGCTTCTATGCTGCTCCCACAGCCCCGGAGAGATCAAAAGGAAGAGAGAGAGAGAGAGAGAGGAAGGTGGAAAAGAGAGATGTCTTTGTCCTTCGGTCCTGTAGATCAGCTGTCGGATTTTAGTCGTCATTAAATACTTTCTGTGTTCAGCTGATCGACATGCCAGTGGAAGGGGTGGGCTCCTGTCCTCTGCATTTGCCATGGCTGATTACTGACACTGGCAGAACGTAACGCCGTGTCCATTTAAGGCAGGGGCTCTGAGACCAATCACAAAACACATTTGCAGATACATTTTCCTTCACCCACCAATGTAAAGCTGTTCATACCCACACTGATAGTATACGATAGTATAGTATAGAGACATGACCTCTGACCTTACTATCTCTCAGGCCATAGCTTGTCCCTACTGCTCATGTCTGTCTGACCAGGTGCACCCCCCGTATTCCACACAGGTCTCACTTTCACTGCAGACCCCCCCCCCCCCCCCCCCCCCCCCCAATTCCATGGACAGCGCTCGCCTGCTCCCTCACTTTCCCCCTCTTCCTGTCAGCCACCATCGTGATATGGAGCCTCTTCAGAGACCGGCTCCGTATCTGCCCCCCCCCCGCTGTCGAGGTCCCCCGGCCCCCCAGAAGGATCACGCTCCGGACCTGCAGTGCCTTGGGGACCAAACTTGTCACCGCTCTGCGGCGAGCTGATGCACGCTGGCGCTCACACTCGAGCGTGCCCGTACGCGGGTGGCACTACTCCAGGACCGTCCACCGACACGCTAAATCCGACACACTTTGGTACAGACAGAACTGCTATGATAATCCCAGTTTTCTGCAGATAAAAGGAGCACGAGACAGCAGCATGCAGCACAACGAAACACGCCGGCGGTTTTCCGAAAAAAGACACAAACCCACATGCATACTAATGCCACACAGGTAAGCATGCTGAAGCTCTCCGGTCGCTACTTACAGCATTTGATAAAATGGTATTGGGACATTTTTGCAGCCGCGGGTTCCAGCCTGGTCATGCGTGGCACCAGTCAGCAGCGTGGCTTGGCAGCTCAGCGGTTTGCCCGCGCTCGCATTATTCACAGAGGCTCACCGGCAGCCCGGCGCCCCCCAGCCCTCGTAGCCCTCTACTCCACCAGCCCCCAAAGCAGACGGCCGTCACGCCCGCGTCTCCGACCATGACCGGCGCACGTGCCGCCTCGGCCACGCTGATTGGCGGCCGCTGGCCACGCCCACCATCCTACACCCTCAGACCGCCTCTCCGCTGGCAAGCCCGCAGAGCGGGGGATTTAATTGGTGCTTCCCTTCTGCCACACCGGCAAAGAGAGAGAGAGAGAGAGACTGCGAGAGAAGGAGTGAGAGAGAGAGAGAGAATGGGGGAGGGAGACTGTGAGAGAGGGAGCAAGAGACGGAGAGAGAGGGAGAGAGTGAACAAGAGACAGTGAGAGAGAGAGGAAGAGAGACAGAGGTGAGCTACTGCAGTGCGGCTAGCCTTGATAACAGGGCTACGTTTCGGCAAATTCTGCAAAGATTTAGCCTGTAGCATGTTCACCCTTCCTGGGCATCACCACCGCGGCTGTGCCAAGGCATCTGGGTAAAGACGCGTTTGCATATGCATGCCTGTGACCGCAGGGGTTTATCAAGAGGAGTGTTCAGGACCCCCTGTGACTTCAGCGGACAGACGTGCAGCCAGTGCCGTCATGGCGGCTTGCTGACTTTTCACGGGCAGTTATGCAGCCGAACACGTGCAGAGTACGGCTTCGCTGCTGCGGCTTTCTACCATTCCCCACCCCCCAGGTGCCCCCCCTGCTCCAACGTACGTCACACACCTG